GACCCACCAACACACCTCCTGCACCCAACGCGGCAAAAGTATTGGGGAGCAACAGATCTCCTCCTAGTTATCAGGCCTGGCGGACAATTACACGACCCAAGCACCCAAGGGGGTCACATCACCACTCCATCAGAAAACCAACCCCGGGTATTTCAGTGGTGGCTCCAACTATGGTTCTGGAGGTGGAGGAGGTAGTGGAGGGGGAGGAGGTAGTGGCGGTGGAAGTGGTGATGGTGGTGGAGGTGGTGGTCTTATTCGTGGAGGTGGTGGTGGTGGCGGCGACGTTGGTGGTGGCGGTGGGGGTGTGGCTAGTTGACCTTTGCATTCTAAAAAGTTGAACCTATGCTTTAAAAACCCCTGCAAATGCTAATTTATCTTTTTTTTTCTCTTTTCAGCTATTTGCATGGTTTCCTATCATGTGACAGCAGAGGTGGTTGCTGATTGGCTGCTCAGTCACATGGGGGAGGGAGGAGGAGGTCTCCAGCCCTGTGTAAGCTCTAAGTGTTCCCATGGCGTAACTAAGGGCTTGGGGGGAGGGAGCGAATGGCAGGCGAGCTCGCGGGCCACCATTAAAAGTGAACTTGCTGCTATTCAAAGCGCAGGTCCCCTTTAAGCGCGCCCTTTATCCTGACGTGTCCCGAGCGTCCTCTCCATGAATATCGTCCCAATTACCTCCCGCTGCTCTCCTGAATCATTCCACCGCCAGACGGAGGCCGCCACGGAGGCGGTGAGCGAAGCTTGCGCCCTTCTGTACAGGAGCTGTTTAAAGGCTGATACCGATCTAAGGAAGATGGAATTTCAAGGTACCCGTTGCCACGGCAACCCATGGCTTGTGTCAGCAGACGGCCGTGATTTGCAGGCGCCGGGTTGCGAGTTAATGAGACGCTTTCGCTTTTCACATGTCAGCGAGCCCAGATGTCATCACAGTACACGGCGGATCATAAAGGCGTAGAGTATCGGCGGCGGGATGAAGATCTGTCGGACGCCAACGATTCGCTGATCAAACGGTCGTTCGTTAACGCGGCGGCACCGCCATCATGCCAGACCGCATCCGCCATTAACCAGTTGACATCCGCGGTGTTAAACCCCCTTCCCATCCAGGCCATTTTTCAGTATTCAGCGCTGCGGTACTTTAACTGAAACCCGTCATTAAAAAAAATATATCACACATCATCGTCAGCATTCTTGCCTGCCATGAATAGAAAGCTCCAGAACGGACGTCATGTGACTTGAGCCTAGCCAACTTTGATCACATGGTCTATGGCTAGCAGGAGTGGCCATTTCACCTCATAAGAGATTGCAGGGACTTTGTATGTGCGTGTTTTTTTCTTTCATCAGGACCTTTAAAAATCCCTGATATGTCCCAATATACAGCGCCATTTTTCAGAGTGCAGGAGGAAGCATTTCCTCAGTCTCCCCTCCCCCAATGATCAGACTGCAACATTGCAACAAGTCACAAGGTGAGAGGCTACAGCAGGGGCTGATCTGTGTCAGACATTTGTCAACACAGCCAAGAACTGTACAGACACCAGGATTTACATGACTGTGTCATCTCTGAGCTGGACAATGGAGAATAGAGGAGCCCCGGAACTGTGACAAGCTCCTCCCACGGCCCAGTAAGGAGTCCGGGGGCACGGGGAAGCCTCAGATCAGCAATAAAATGAATACTGATCGCCTCTGCTGGCTGTGCAATGTGTGCGAGGATAAAGATTGCAGCAGACAATAGTATGACGGTCTTTGCTTTCAGTGACAGGTAAGCAGCAGACCCGTGTCATCCTTCAGAGAAGACAGCGACTCCACTGACCCAGCCCAATATTGAAGCCTACGGACTGAGACTGGGATGCCATTAGAGTTCATGTGCGTGTAAAGGCAGGCGTCCCAATACTTTTGGTAATATAGTGTATACTGTATATAATAAATAGAATATTTTGGAAGTTATGTTTAAATGAAATGTAAATAAAGATAATTTGTACAATTGTTTATACAGATTTTACACCAGACCCAAAAAACTGATTGTGAAATGACAATTTTTAGGCTCCAGTGACGGGTAGTCGGAAGGCCCGTGTGTCATATCCGTCCTTGGGAAGCCGGGCCGGGGATTCCGGGTAGCTTTTTCTTTTCTTTTTTTCCAGTAAACACACAACAGGAAATCTCTAAAACTATATTTTCTAACGTTTCCACCTATCTTTCTGCCAGGAAATCCCCGAATTTAAGGATAGAAAACATCCTCAAAGCTCAACTCGGAGCCCGCTGCTCTTCCGTGTCCATCAATCAATAACCCGTGTCCATCAATCAATAACCCGTGTCCATCAATCAATAAACCGTGTCCATCAATCATTACCCCGTGTCCATCAATCAATAAACCGTGTCCATCAATCATTACCCCGTGTCCATCAATCAATAACCCGTGTCCATCAATCATTACCCCGTGTCCATCAATCAATAAACCGTGTCCATCAATCATTACCCCGTGTCCATCAATCAATAAACCGTGTCCATCAATCAACAACCTGTGTCCATCAATCAATGACCCGTGTCCATCAATCAATAAACCCGTGTCCATCAATCAATAAACCCGTGTCCATCAATCAATAAACCCGTGTCCATCAATCAATAACCCGTGTCCATCAATCAATAACCCGTGTCCATCACTGGGATTTCTGGGCAGGAAGGATAATCCCAAAAACAAATCATCAACAGACTCTGGGATATGAACACTTATTCCAAGGTGGGCAACATCGGCCCTCCAGCTGGGGTAGAACTGGGCAACATCGGCCCTCCAGCTGGGGTAGAACTGGGCAACATCGGCCCTCCAGCTGGGGTAGAACTGGGCAACATCAGCCCTCCAGCTGGGGTAGAACTGGGCAACATCGGCCCCCCAGCTGGGGTGGAACTGGGCAACATCGGCCCTCCAGCTGGGGTAGAACTGGGCAACATCGGCCCTCCAGCTGGGGTGGAACTGGGCAACATCGGCCCTTTTTTGCCAATGGAAAGCCGGCTACTAGAGGAGGAGAAAAACACGCAGCCGCGCCTTTCATCACGCCCCCCAAAGCGCAACAACGCTCAACATGAAGAATCCCATTATTTTAAATGGTGCCTGTTCACTTGTAGCGCTAAAATGAACCTCTTTAGGGCAGAACCGTGCGTTTTTGGTCCCACGGACATCAATGGGAGCACCTGAAAAACGCACGTAAGCTCGTGTACTTTTATGCGATACAAGCGTCAGAGCGCTCAGGTGATAACGGGTACCATGGGAACTCATGGGATTCTGCACGCTGAGCGTTGTCACGCTTCGGGGGAACGTGCAGCAAAACGCTCCTGTGTAAGTGAACCCGTGTCCCGTGCTGGTGTCACTCTGGAGAAGTGGGCGTTCCTAGGCAGGCTATATTTGCATACAGACCGCCCACATGTGACGCTGAGCTTCCGTGATTGAAGAACTGAAATCCAATGAATGAAAAGGGGCGGGTCAGGGACAGTCAGGCTGGGGACGCTGAACAGGAAGTGAGGCGGGCTCTGACTTGCTGCAGCTTCTAATGTACATTGTGAGGAGCTCTCAGTGTGCAGCGACATCAGAGGAAGCCATTTCAGTCCAGGAGAAGTGCCGGTGCAACCGTGCAAGACTGAAGGGAAGGCCGGAGTTCCCCTTTAAGTACATTCAGTACAGCGAGTGTGCTCAGCGGCTCCTTTGGTTGGGCTGCCCCTTTAAATAACGCTCTTCATGGCGGCGATGGAACGGCGATGTTTTTCCTCTTTTGACCATTTGACTTTTTTGTTGTTCATCCTTTGGAGGGGTTTTCCAGCTTTTTGAAGTTCCTCGCCTTGTTTTGACTCCTGCGTCCTGAAACGCGATCCGGCTGTGAGCGCAGCGTCTGTTTATAAAGCGCACATGCTTAGAATCCTAGGGAAATCCCTGCCCACGGGGTGACGGTGGAACAAGCGCATTCTTTGTGGTCTCCCGGCGGGCTCCAGCAAACCGCGGCCAACTTTATATAGTACCACTTGCTCTAAACTTGGAGGCTCGGGGCAGAGCCGGGGGGCGGGGCTGGGGCACGGGATGCCATCCCGAATATCTCATCTATTTATGAAGACGCTTTGAAACAATTTCAATTTGCGCTTCTCTGGCTCGCAAGACTGTCTTCCCGTACGTCTATGGAAACGTAATCCTGGGAGCGACGTCAGCGCCAAAGGGCTGCAAGTGGAATTTTAAGTGGAACGCACATGGGACATATTCTACACGCCGAGTACTACTGTAAGTCATGTGTCAGTGTAAGACTTCCTGGTATTTATTACCTCTCATAGAGATCGCAGTACACAAATGTCGGACACATGCTTCTCCTGCTTGCAGCAGAGTGATCACTGGGGGAGGGGAGACTGAGGAAATGCTTCCTCCTGCCTGCAGCAGACTGATCACTGGGGGAGGGGAGACTGAGGAAATACTTCCTCCTGGCTGCAGCAGACTGATTACTGGGGGATGGAGACTGAGGAAATGCTTCCTCCTGCCTGCAGCAGACTGATCACTGGGGGAGGGGAGACTGAGGAAATACTTCCTCCTGGCTGCAGCAGACTGATCTTCTCCTGCCTGTAGCAGACTGATCACTGGGGGAGGATCCCTGGTGCCAAAAAAAGCTTGAGGGCCGCTGTTCTACTGCAGCATATACCCTTCAGAGACGTGACCGGGTCTCTTTAATTATCAGAGGTATTAGAACAGCCAAGCAACTGGCATTTTCAGGACACTTCATTATAGCAGCAACCCGAAACATTCAGACTGGTGAACGGGAACGGCAAATAGTACTGAGAAAATATTTATAAATAGAACAAATGTGCAAAAGGAAAACAAATATGAAACCAGCAAAAGAACTTTGTCCTCAGTAACTTCTGTGAGATAATGACCCCAAAAGAAGAAGTGAAACCTTATTAGGTGCATCGTACGAGGAAACTGCGTCCGCCGCCAGGGATCTATAGAGAACCCGCAACGCCCCGGAGGTCCATCGTCCTGAGTGCACCATGTGACAGAACAGAACAAGACCACTGCACTTCCCCTTTAAGATTTACAGCTATTTCTGGGTAACTTGTGCTGCCCAAAAATCCTTCCTCTCTACAATCCGTCCGTCCGTCTGTATCCATCCATCCATCCATCCATCCATCTATTATGTATCTATCTCTCTATCTCTCCATCTATCCATCGATCTATCCATCTATCTCTCTATCTATCCATCCATCTATCCATCTATCTATCCATCCATCCGTCCATCCATCTATCCATCGATCTATCCATCTATCTCTCTATCTATCCATCCATCTATCCATCTATCTATCCATCCATCCGTCCATCCATCCATCCATCTCTCTATCTATCCATCCATCTATCCATCTATCTATCCATCCATCTATCTATTATCTATCTATCCATCTATCTCTCTATCTATCCATCCATCTATCCATCTATCTATCCATCCATCCGTCCATCCATCCATCCATCCATCTATCTCTCTATCTATCCATCCGTCTATCTCTCTATCTCTCCATCTATCCATCGATCTATCCATCCATCTATCCATCCATCTATCTCTCTATCTATCCATCCATCTATCCATCTATCTATCCATCCATCCGTCCATCCATCCATCCATCCATCTATCTCTCTATCTATCCATCCGTCTATCTCTCTATCTCTCCATCTATCCATCGATCTATCCATCCATCTATCCATCCATCTATCTCTCTATCTATCCATCCATCCATCTATCCATCCATCCATCCAATCTCTCTATCTATCCATCCATCGATCGATCTATCCATCTATCCATCCATCTATCCATCCATCTATCCGTCCATCCATCCATCCATCGATCTATCTCTCTATCTATCCATCCATCCATCGATCTATCCATCGATCTATCCATCTATCTCTCTATCTATCCATCTATCTCTCTATCTATCCATTCATCTATCTCTCTATCTATCCATCCATCCATCCATCGATCTATCTCTCTATCTATCCATCTATCCATCGATCTATCCATCTATCTCTCTATCTATCCATCTATCTCTCTATCTATCCATCCATCCGTCCATCCATCTATCCATCCATCTATCTATCTCTCCTCCCCCTCTCTCTCTCTCTTCTCTCTTCCCCTCTCTTCTCCCTCTCATCTATATTCTCTCTCTCTTCCCCCCCCTCTCTCTCTCTATCTTCTCTCTATCTTCCCCTCTTTCTCTCTCTCTTCCCCCCCCTCTCTCCCTCTATCTTCTCTCCCCCCCCCCTCTCTCTCTCCCTCAGCATTCAGACAGCCGGTGGCCATGACAGTGACGGTCAATGTTCAGCCAGCAGTGTTCCTCCTCCTTTAATCAGTTGAAGTTTGTTGAGCCGGGTGGTGCCGCCAGGGTTACCCGTGGTTAGAATTTCCTCAGAATCACAGGAATCAGCCAAACTTCTGGCCAGCTTTATACTTTGATATCTCTGGGGAAAAACAAAACTCCCCCAACATGCTTGGCCCCATATTAGATGCCGGAGGGGAGAAACAATTATATATTCATAAGACATCAGGTCAGCGCACATTGTGATGCACTTTACATTGCGTGTCATAGCACACGTCACGTGCATTAATGTTGCGTTGTGCGTCATGATGCATGTTGACCTCGGTTGGCTTGCAGTACTACAAAAGCCCATTGCCATGCGTTTTGATGCTTTTCCATTAATTCAATGTAAAACACAATCCGGCCTTACACAATACATAATAAACCTTCCCGGTTGGGTTTCTCACCAGACTCTTCAGGGAATGCGCTGACTGGACCAGGACCGAGACTTCCTGCAAAGAGACGAAGAACGAGTTACTAATTAAATATCAGATAGACGAGTCCGACACCTTGGGACATCAGAGATCAAACCTGGGCAAGAGGAAGTGTTGGCATCGCCCATACCAATCACATATCATCCTTTTCTAACCCTTCCTGGAAGTGGATTCCACGTGAGCACCCCGAGGGATGAGCCAATCCTGATGGATCTCCAGCTATCCCAAGTGAACTATTTTTTAAAGGACCCCCTTATACCACCTGCCCAACCCCCACTGGATCCAATGGGGATCTAACATTTAACACCCCGGGACTTTAAGGGACAGGAATCCCTGCCCCCCGGGTGACGTGCATGGCCCAACAAGGAATTAATATGCTTCTTTATAAGGTGCCAACCTAATAAGCGGGCACTTAGTTATTGGGGCAGTGATGTCACACGGAGGGTCACCCCTACTTTCGTATACACTCGAGAGGAACCGTTTTTGCACCAGCTTCACCCATTTAAGATAAAAATGAAAAGGGTTCCTGCTTGCAGCATACGCAGACACTATGGGGAATTATAAAACGCCAACCCAGGCATACGCTGTTTCCGCCACTAGATGGAGCCAAGGAGCATTGGAAATTCCCTATGCTCCTCAGCTCCCTCTAGTGGTAGCACCATTGTGCAAACTGCATTCACCCAGCATATGACAGGTGTGAATTTTTTATAAATCATCCCCTCTGTGGTCATCCCCTTTATGGTCATTCCCTCTATGGTCATCCCCTCTGTAGTCATCCCCTCTATGGTCATCACCAGTATTTAGGCAGTTCTCCAGCAGCAACATTTCTGAGGCATGATGCTTCAAGGGAATACTTGAGGATAGAAATACAGAAGCTGCCATGACTAACTTGTTTTTATAGGTGCACATTCCAGGGCTGCCATCCTAACCCCACTTGAAACCCAGCCAATGAATTCTGTAAATTGGGACTGCTTGTCTGCATGCTTGTTTAATCTTCATCGTTTACCCTCAAAGAGAAAATGGGCCGTGGCCTATGTCGTCTGCCCATCTATCCCGAACCCACTAGCATGTCGTAATAATAATCGCATTCAACAATCTTCCTGCCCCCCCTGACCCCAGAGTAATTTTTTTCACACAGCTATTTCCAGTGCACCCCAAAGATAAATAACATGTACCTTGTTGCTTGCAAAAACAGCCTCATCCTGGGGGCAGGGGAGCCTCTGTCCGGCCCAGTTTGACGCATTCTCGAAATTGGTGTTGGGGATCCAGCGCTTATAGATGGCATCCGCCGGCCCGCCTGTAAGAGAAGAATTGTGTGTAAGCAGAACTTTGAACAATGTTTATCTGTAAAAAAAAATATGTCAAGGCAACTGGACTGGCTGTAGTTTTCTTGAAGACGTTTCACTGGTCATCCGACCAGCTTTCTCAAATTCTGAATTGAGAAAGCTGGTTGGATGACCAGCGAAACGTCTTCAAGAAAAATACAGCCAGTCCAGTTGCCTTGACATATTTTTTTTACAGATATACCATGACCTGTATGAATGAGAACCTTCACAGAAATATTGAACAATGTTCCTTTTGTCAAGAATTCCTCCTGAGAAATAGCAGAGCGCGTCCTGTAAGTGCGCCTAGGCACTCCTATACCTGCAAGCTCATCACTAACCATACTTACCAATATTTCAGTCCTGGTCCTAGGGACACAGATAATCCCACCCACAGCCTAGCTCAGGCCCCCCTAGTGAGCGGGCAGTCCCATCCAGACCATGCCCATTTACTGGGGTGACCTTCCCAACCCCCACCTATTATGCGGAGACCAGCAACTCATGGCCACCGGTCACTGCAACAAATGCAGATGCCTTATGCGCAGTAACTCAGATAAGGGTGACAAGTGTGATCCTGGGAGATTGCCCAGGACACAGTATTAAGTTGTGAGATGTTCCCAGCAGTTGCCACCTATGCTATATATCTGCAGTGTGAGATCTAAGGCACTGCTGCCTCTGACTGCTAGTCTCAGGAGATTCTGAAAGAAATATGACGTTGTCACTAGTGTCCTGCTCACTGTTCTCCTTGCCGGAGGCTCTGACATAAGGAAGCAAATCCCTGCCTCTACCAAGATGGCCGCCTCCACACAGAGACATATAGCAGAACAAGGCGTGGTAAGTCAGTAATAGGGAAAGATCAGCTGCAGGGAGACCACAGACAGTACTGGTGCCCAGTCTTCTCCCCCTACCGGCCATTGTAGAATAAAGTTCATTTTGTGGAATGCAATGACTCTTATTACCCCGATCTTGGCCACGAAAGTGGTGCTCCTTGAGTGAGATGCAGAAGTTTAGGGAGAGACAAGAGCGCCACACCAATAGTCCGGAACTATTTTATCATCAACAATATACAAATTCCCAACGCGATTGCAAGTTTGTATGATACCCCCTTCATTCGGGTTTGAGGTTTGAGGTGCTGTCTGGAAAAGATGGTGGCCTCAGAAGAGTAAGGCTGCTCCTCTGCTGATGTTAGCTTCAGGTACTGGTTGCAAAAGTGGATTCTGAGTCAGAATTTCTGACCCCCTTAGGTGGGGGTTCCCTTACTTCCTGTCCCTGTGACACCCGTACAAGAAATTGGGGGAGTGGCTGTTACCACAACAGGAAGCCCGCAGACACCAATTAAAAACCATTGACAGAACTTTGAACAATCCCTGTCCTGGGAAGAGGCGAGGGAAAATCTCCCCAATGGGGTCACCCAAGGCAACAAAAGCATGACTGAGCGTCTAACCGTCCCCACTCTATTCAAAACTAAAGTTTTGGCTGGGGTGCGTCTCTAGTTACATAAACCACCCGCAGAATATAAATACTGATGCACTTTCATAAGAACAATAAAAAAAAAAAAGCAAAGCCCAATTTAATATAGAAATAAAGGCTAAAAAAAAAAAGATATTTACTTACTTCCCCGACTTCCCACGCCATGGAGCACGACTCTGATGAAGGCCTCATTCACACTGCCGCGCGTATATACGCGCGCATGTGTGTATTGTACTATATGCAAATAAATGGCTCCATACACATAGCCGCGTATGGAGCCGTATATTTGCATAGCGCAACAATGCGCAAAACCAGAATGGAACCGAGATGCGTCCGGGCAGAGTATTTCTGCGTGTTTCTGCGCATATACGCACATACGCGTGTACAATTCATTAAAATTTCTATTATGAATGATGCATTCTGGGATTGCATTTACGCGTATATACGCAATATACAATTTTGCTCTTGCGTTGTGTGTGAATAAGGCCGAACAGAACTCGCTGCCGGAGGTCATACTTCTGGTAGGGTCAGGCTCTGGGTCCATTGCCATGATCCCATTGACCGCCTACAGTACTGACATAGAGGCAGTGGCGTCACAAGGGGGGGTGTGGCCCGCACCCGGGTGACACCATTGGAGGGGTGACACCAAAATGACTGGCAGTCATTTTGGTGCCACCCCCTCTAAAAAGTCGGGCACTCGGTCATGGGCCGAGAGTGGAGGGGACCCGGCGGCATACCTCATCCCGCCGGGTGAACGTCTCCTCCTCTCTCTGCCGGCGTCCATTACCAAGATGGCCGCCAGCAGGCGTCAATTAGATGGCCGCACATGCGCAATGACGTCATCGTGCACGCGTGTGGTGATGTCACGTGCGTTGCGCGATGACGTCACTGTGGGGTGTGACGCCCGGCCTCAGGACACCCCTGTCAGTGGGAGGAACTACAGAACACAATGCGGAACCAAAAGTATTTACAAATAGTTTATTTTAAGATTTTTGTAAATGACAGGGCCACTTTAAAACAAAAAGATCTTCCTACATCTTTATTAATCTATATA